AATCAACAGCATCCAGATGCTGGCAGAAAGCAAACTTGTAATACACAGGGATCTGCTGTGTCCCTGGATAAATCTGCCCACTGCATTTATTCACCGCCTTGTATCCATTCCTGGCTACACAGTGTGTGTGTTAAACTGATAGTGCACCCACTAATGGAAACCTCGGAACACGAGAGATGACAGCGCCACATGATTCCAATGTAACCGTGCTGGTCCAGGCTCTCCCCCATCATCACACTCATTCATGGTTTTGAGATGCAACTCCAGCAGGCATTCAGGTACTCGGCAAACACATAGAGACTCAGACACCGGCTTCTAGTAACAATGGGTATGCCTGGCATCACCCGTCCTCAAAGGAGCAATAATCCCAATGGGTTAACAGACAGCAAATGTCTAGGCCTCCATCTGGCAACGGCCGCACAGTTAACTTGTGGAACTCCTTGCCAGAGGATGTGGTGAAGGCCAGGACTTTAACAGGGTTCAAAAAAGAGTTGGATAGATACATGGAGGTTAGGTCCATCAATGGCTATTAGCCAGGATGGGTAGGAACGGTGTCCCTAGACTCTGTTTGTTTGGAAATGGGTGACAGGGGAGGGATCATATGATTATTACCTGCTGTATTTCCTCCTTCTGGGGCATCTGGCATTGGCCACTGTTGGCAGACAGGATGCTGGGCTAGATGGACCATGGATCTGACTCAGTCTGGCTGTTCTTATGTTGTTAAGTGTGTGATTTTACTCACACCAGCCGTCACATCAAACTTCAGGGGAAAAGCTCTCATGAACAAAGCTACACACATGCAGGATCGGGGCCCTGGCAAGCAGACAAAAGAACCAAAGAAACCAAGTGCGACGTGTTTCACGCCGCCGACAAAAACCTAACGCAGCAAATTTGATCTGCCGGATCCGACCTTCCCCCGCAGACTGTAATCAAGAGGCCACATAAAACAGCACAAAGGCCTCCAAAAATTGATTTTTGCACTCAGCCAGGTTAGCATTAACACAAAAACGTCTCCCTCACCACGCCTGGCGTCCGCCACAAACTCTCTCATTCACACAGACCTTGGACCTCTTCCCCAAGAGGAGGGAGCGATGTGCTTTGGTTTTATTTTAACATCAGCATCCTAGCACGTGCCAGCACGAAATGCACACCAGACTGAAAGACTAGCTTCTCGCAAACAAGTCACCTGCAAAACGAGGGGATAAATGGACACAAGGTTACACTGCCATGGCCACCTGGCTCACAAGATCCCTGGGAGAAGGTATTGTGAATGTGAAAGGTGTCAGGGCTTGTTAAATGTTAATAAGATTCAATAATTAGCCTCTTGCATAGAAACAGGAACAACAGTGGCTTAATTATGAAATATTTACATCTCTAATTAGAAACATCTATTTGAGGGCAAAGAAAATGTCATCACAGCCAAGTGAATCACAGCAAGGTATCGCCACAAGCAACAAACAAAAGAAGTGCTTTTCCACACAAAGCACAGCCAATCTGTGGAACTCCTTGCCGAGGCGTGGTGTGATAGCCCAAAGTACAAATGGGTTCAAAAAAGAACTGAACACATTTATGGAGGACAGGTCTCTCAATGGCTATGAGCCATGATGGTCAGGGATGCAAGCCCATTCTTGGGGTGACTCTATAAACTCCTCTCCCCCATTGTCGGCTTCTGGTGGTCAGGAGTGGATCACTCCAAATTACCCCAATCTGTATACTAGGGATGTAAAATCCTGTTTAACCGGTTAAATGGGAGCAAGCGGGGAGGCCACTCCAGCTGCTACATACGGGGGTGGGGGCTTCAGCCAGACTAGAGCATCTCCCTTTCTCCCCCAGCACCAGTTAACCATTACCATTAAGAGTGAGGGTTACCAGTTACACAATGAACCATTAACATCCCTTCTGTATACTCCCCACGAAGCTCTAGTATAGGCCACCAGGACAGGACAGAGGGAAAGCAGACCATGGTCTGAGTAGCCGTTCTGTTCTTAGGTGACACTTTTACATGGGGGCGATATCACGCTCTCGCAGCAAGAAGAGGTACCTGTTCGTAAATCCAGGACTCTCTGGTCCGGTAACATCAGTGGTCCGGCAGGACAGGACTCCTGGCTGCCCTATTTGCCCCAGGACAGGGCTCGCCGGTCCCTGAATGGGACTCAGGTGGGGCAGAAGTGGGGCCGTGGCAGCTGGAGAGCTCCGACCCTGGAGAGCCCCAGCCGGCTGGCAGCAGCATGCCAGAGCCCAAGCCCTGTAGCAGCAGGGCTGGAGCCTTGTGGCAGTATCCTGGGAGGCCAGTGGCAGGGAACCTCCCCTCATTTGGGACGGGTCAGGTCCCGAGGGTGCCGAACTAGAGAGGTCCAACCTGTACTGCTGCTCATCAACACTGAAAGCCGGTATTTCAACCTGGGCCCAATCCAACACGGCGCTGAGCACCCTCAATTCCCACCGGCCCCAAGGGAAATGGCTCTCTCATCGTGAAAACCTGACATCCCCTGCCTTGCCACGTGTACGGCTCATCACCATGCGCTGGAGGCTGCAAACCAAGATCTCGTTTCCTTGTACCGCGCGCACGGGCCTCTCGCTGCGGCGCCAGAGTATCTAACAAACCCCACAGCGCCTAAGTCCCTGGCAACAGCTGGAGCTGAGGCTGGGGCCAGAACAGGGCCAGAGCTCCCTGCTGTGCGCCGCCCCCCAACACGGGACTCCCAGCTGAGTGCCCCCCCTCACACTGCACTCCTGCCCCACTGCCAGACCTCCCTGTTCCTGGGCTCTGTGGTCCAGGTCAACACAGGAAGTGTCTGACCCTGGCAAGCTGCTGAGCACCTCCTGAAGTCAACGAGACGGAGGGCATGTTACATTGGGCAGGGCCGGGTCCCTAACGAAATGCCAACATCCTATTCATCACAGCAGCAGGCAGACGCGTGCGAGGTACCTCTCCTTGCAGAGTCGGCCACACTTGCGGGATTGCAGGCTTGCCCAGGGCTGTCCACACAAGTTACCTGGGCCCCATAGGCTGCTGCTGTCTCTGCTTGCCTCTTCCTAGAATAGTAACTCACAGACACCCCTGTTTGTCAGGGTGGGTGCGGGGCGGAGGTGTGGAGAGAATTACTGCAATGCCATGCCCTTGCATAGACTTTCCGAACTCCTGTGAGTAAAATAGGTAAATCAGTTTGCAGAGACCTCAACGGCCGTAAGAGGCTTTTTTTATACCTTCCCCAGAGGAAAAACCACCACTTTGTGAGGATCTGGCTCCACGACTCCCCGCAAACGAACGAAGTAATTCACCAGCGTAAACTGCACTTCCCCTTCGCATGATAAACGACGTCTGTTGTGAGCGAGACGAACGCCTCCAGGTCAAGAGGTAATTAGAGCCAGTCTGGCGTCCAGGCGCTAGCGGTCTGGAAGTGAACTAATTCCCTCGCAGACTGCCAGGGGCTGCTGAAAATGAGACTCGCTCGGATGCTGATTGAGTGGTCAAATCTCTGAAGTCCCCCCCGCCACACACCCCCACCCCCACACAGAGTTTCTTTGCATTGTCATTGTCAGCCTCTGCATGCCACACCCCTTCGTTCCTGGGACCCTAAGGGCTACCTCACGACTACGGGTTGGACCTCCCTAAACCGAGACTCCTTGGTCCAGCAACATCCGTGTGCCAGTGCCTGGACCACAGAGCCCAGGAACAGGGAGGTCTGGCAGTGGGGCAGGAGTGCAGTGTGAGGGGGGGCACTCAGCTGGGAGTCCCGTGTTGGGGGGCGGCGCACAGCAGGGAGCTCTGGCCCTGTTCTGGCCCCAGCCTCAGCTCCAGCTGTTGCCAGGGACTTAGGCGCTGTGGGGTTTGTTAGATACTCTGGCGCCGCAGCGAGAGGCCCGTGCGCGCGGTACAAGGAAACGAGATCTTGGTTTGCAGCCTCCAGCGCATGGTGATGAGCCGTACACGTGGCAAGGCAGGCCAGAGCTCCACAGCCACCTGGCTCTGCAGACGGGGACAGAGCCCTGCAGGGCCTTCACAGAGGGGAAAACCAGGGACAGTCACCCAGCAAATCAGCCGCAAAACCCCGAGTGAAATTAAGTCTCCCGATTCCCAGTCCTGCAGCTTCACCCTTTGAACAGGATATAGTAAGAGTCCTGCCCTGAGGAGCTCACACTCAAAGCAAACAGACATCGTAAGGGTTATAGTCCCCATTTTCCAGGACGGAACTGACACAGCGAAATTAAGTGACTTGCTCAGGGTCACAGAAGTGGTCAGTAGCAGAGCCAAAGCCTGCCCACGGAGCTGCTGTACCTCAGTCCAGCGCTTTATCCACAAGGCCACTCTCATTCTCTCTTGTGAAAGCATAAAGCGAACACAAAAGCTAGCAGTCCAAGTGTAGGGAGGAGCTGATATGCAAAATCAGGCAGCGATAGCTATCTGTATGCAACAGCTTTGCTCTGCAGCCAGAGATTTAAACATGTTTTCAAACTCCGAACAAAGGGGTAAGGTTGAAACTCTTCAGTTCCCCTCTGGTTTAGTCATGTGGCTAAGCAAAGACGCCTGCTTCTCCCAGGACTGTCACGTGCGGAACGGCGCCATCGCAAGCAAACTCCAACCAAAGGCCCGGCCTTTCCAAGAGCCAAGGTGGATGGAACAAAGCGAGGGAATGGCGTTAAAACGTGACGGATGTTGCTGTCCTGGGCGGGTGGGGAAAATAAGCCACAGGGTTGGTCCTGGTGGAAAACAACAATGCACAAAACCAGCCATGCTGCAAAAGTTGATCAGTGACAAAGGTCTGCCGTTTTGCCCGCTGAGAGTATGTCTCTTATTTTCTGGATACATGCCCTCCGGGAGTCACACCGCAGCTCCACCTGTGCTAGCACATGCACCGAGAGAAATAACCCCACAGCCCACAAAGACAGACCGGAAGACAGCTGGGCCATCCCGCAGCCACACAAAGAACCAAACCAGGCCGGAGCAAATGCAGCTCCCCCTGAAGTCAACAGGGTTAATTTTGGAAGATCTCACTTACTTGATTTGCTCCCACGTCCTGGTGGCCAAATGCAGGACCCAGAGATCCTTGTAGTGGTAAAACTGCTCTCCATTGGGAGAAGCAAACTCTCCCCCGAATATCCATAGCTGCCCACCACCCTGGGGCACCGCTGCAGCCTGCCAGGAGAGAGAGAGAGAAAGCACACAGTCATACCGTCTTTACATTCTTGAGTTCCTGTTTCAAATCTCTCCCACCAGGAAGAGGGGAAGCAATGTCATGCCGAAGACTGGCATTGGTCAGCATCTCTCCAGTCGTTCAAGCCCTAGTCATGCTCCCCGTAGGCTGACGATGCATCCACCTAGTAAAGTTATTTCAGAATAACGGCCGTTCCATTATTTTGAAATAATTTAGAAAATAACGGACGGCTTATTCTGACTTCTGTAAGCCTCGTTCCACGCAGAATAATGCCTATTGCGAAATAGATATTTCAGAACAGGGGCTGTGTAGATGCTCCACTGCGGCTATTTCGAAACAGCTCCCCACTACGGCCATTCGAAGTTATACCTGCTGGGGCTCTAAATCGAGATAGCACGTCTACATTAGGGAAGCCTGTCTTGGATCAATTTTGAGGCTTCCCTGCAGTGTAAATGTGCTATTTCGAAATAAGCTATTTCAGAATAACTATTCTGGAATAGCTTATTCCGAAATAACTGCAGTGTGAACATAGCCTAAGTGTCCGGGCAAGACAGAGAGAATGGTTCCTGCCTTCTTAGCTGTACGTAACATGCCACAAAAGGGCGGGCAAGCTCATGAAAGGAACAAGCATGACAGAAAAGATGGTCGAGTTGCCTGAGAACTAGCCTAGGACTTGGGAGACCTAGGCTCAATTCCCTGCTCTGCCACAGACTTCTTGTATGACCTCAGGCAAGTCACTTAGCTTCTTTGAGCCTCGGCTCCCAAGCTGTAAAATGGAGACGATAGCAGTGCCTTCTCTTTCCAGGGAAGTAGACAGACAAAACTTAATATTAATTTGACACAACTGACCCCTTGTACAGGATGTTTTTCACCCAATGTGCAATATATAAATAACACCGTTCACTAGTAGATTACCCACAGATTGGGGCCCAAACCAAAAAGCCAAATCCGTACCTTCCCCAAATCTGCAGGTTTAAGAAATAAATCTTACTTTCTAGCAAGTGCAGAGGGAACACACAATTCTTGGTCTCGGGGACAATTTCACTGGTTATAGGTAAGCAGCAGAACCAAGAGACGGCAGAAGAGGGTTGAGAGGGTTAAAAAAGAGAGGAGCTCACAATGAAAGGATGGGGAGAGAGGAGACGGACTCCCAAGAGCTCAGTGTGACTGAAGTAAGTGGGTAGGGAGAAAGAGAAACAGAAAGAAAGAGACACACAAAACATGGAAGGAAACCCAAATGAATGTGCATTTGCTAAGGGAATGTCTACACAGCAGTGTTATTTTGGAATAACTGATGTTCTTCTGAAATAACAAAGAGCGTGTCTACACAGCAAGCCGTTATTTCAAAATAACGTTGAGCTGGAGGACTTCTCCCTCCGACTCCTGTAACCCTTATTTCACGAGGAGTAAGAGAAGTTGAAGGAAGAGTGTCAGTGCCAAAAGACAAATTAAGCTATTTCAACTTCAGCTATGCAATTGACGTAACTGAAGTTGCATAGCTTAATTTGACTTTGCCCTGCTATGTAGACATGCCCTAAGCTGGCTAGGATCTCTGGAAAATGATACATTAAAAACAAACACTTCTGTATGGCTGTGTCTAGACTGGCAAGTTTTTCTGCAAAATCATCTGCTTTTGCGGAAAAACTTGCCAGCTGTCTACACTGGCCGCTTGAATTTCTGGAAAAGCACTGACGATCTCATGTAAGATCATCAGTGCTTTTCCGGAAATACTATGCTGCTCCCATTTGGGCAAAAGTCTTTTTCCGAAAGACTTTTGCGCAAAAGGACCAGTGTAGACAGCATAGTTCTGTTTTCCGCAAAAAAGCCCCAATCGTGAAAATGGCGATCGGGGCTTTTTTGCGGAAAAGCGCGTCTAGATTGGCTACGGACGCTTTTCCGGAAAGGCGTCCTGCCAATCTAGATGCTCTTTTCCGAAAATGCTTTTAACGGAAAAGTTTTCCGTTAAAAGCATTTCCAGAAAATCATGCCAGTGTAGACGTAGCCCAGGTGTATTTCTAGCACCCTAATCGATGTATGTAGATCAGATACAAAACAAGGATAATCTCTCCTAGGGATCTAAGCGACTAGTCAACTACCCGATAAGCATAGGCAGGGACAGAGGTGCAGCGGGGAAAACAGCACGAGCTGGGACTGAGCAATCCCGGCTCACATTGAATCCCAGACGCTGTGCCTCTGCTGCTTAAATTTTCCGGAAAAGCGTCCTGCCAATCTAGATGCTCTTTTCCGAAAATGCTTTTAACGGAAAAGTTTTCCGTTAAAAGCATTTCCAGAAAATCATGCCAGTGTAGACGTAGCCCAGGTGTATTTCTAGCACCCTAATCGATGTATGTAGATCAGATACAAAACAAGGATAATCTCTCCTAGGGATCTAAGCGACTAGTCAACTACCCGATAAGCATAGGCAGGGACAGAGGTGCAGCGGGGAAAACAGCACGAGCTGGGACTGAGCAATCCCGGCTCACATTGAATCCCAGACGCTGTGCCTCTGCTGCTTAAAACCCTGGCGGCTCTTACTACATTTAAAAAGCAGAAGCACAGGGTCAGGTCCCAGACCGCTGCGGCTCTGCTTTTTAAACATAGAAAGAGCCAAAAATCCCAGTTAACATCACAGTCAGTCTTCCCTGTAAGAGGAGCACTTGGGCAGCTGCCCAGGAGAGATTCAGGGGCCACTCAGCTGACTGGCAGAACGCCCACAGCTTCTCACAGCCAGCAACATGTGTTTCTATTGGTGGTGCACATCTGCACATACCTTGGTGCACGTAACAAAATTTATTATGCCCACTGATGGAAAACATTAGAGGGAACATTGATGACGGGACCAGATTTTTAAATCTGAGGTGCATGTAATTGTGAACTTACACAGGCATGAGTCTAATTTACACATACAGACGCTGCATTGAAAAATTATCAACTGGTAGGTAAGAGCTACCTAACTAGCTATCTGCCTGTGCAAACATATAATTTCCACGGGGATCTGGTGTTTGCAAACAAAAGCTGGGTATGTACAATAGCATGCATGACGCTGGGTGCACCGCTTTTCTGTTCACTCCCTCTGGGGCACCTGGCACTGGCCACTGTGACCACTTTGAATATATGGCGGCAGCTTAATTAAAAAGCCACGGTTCTGGCTCGCCAGGAAAATTCAAACAAAAAATGACATGAGCCCTTGTTTACTGCAATTCCCGCCTGGGCAGTCTGGTAGCAAGATTGCATCATAACAGTGCCACCTGCTGGACGCCGCCCCTTCAAACAGGCAGGATTAGCAGCGCTTGTATTAACAAAAATGTTCCGCCTTTAAAAAGAAAGCCCTAACTCCAGACAATGCAATGCATTTGTTCTTAGATTATTTTCCCGGCCTATACATATTTTTCAAGTTACTTTCTCAGATTTATCTTCTGCTTTATCAAAACTGCAGCAACTAGTAACTATGATAGATGTCATGCACAAGAACGGTGCGTTAATTTAGTTCCTAGCCCACTTAGAAATGTAAATGCTTTGCTTGCCTGTGTCTGATAAACAATTTAATGTACTCATCAGTTAATACTTGTCACATCTACCATCGGGAATATACAACGTTAAATCTACTATATGTTATGAAGAGTGTTTGTTGGTGGATTTGTTTGTGCAAAATAAAGTCATCCTTCCCAATTACCTACAGATACCAATTTTTGCATAAACAATCCTGCCACAAATTAGCAGAATGCACTGCTTTTTACACCAGAATATGCGGGGTGAAAGGTGTCAATAGGTGTTTCTCAAAGTGGTCTGCGGACCCACTCTGAGAAACGGGCTAACTGGCTGCTCCGGTTTGTTTACTTACCAGCATTGCACAAACAGAGCCTCGCAGCTCCCATTGGCTGTGGTTTGCCATTTGCAGCCAACGGGAGCCGCGAGAAGCAGCGTGACCTGGGCTGCTGCTTGCCACAGCTCCCCGAGGCTGCAAAAGGGCCAACCGCAGCCAATGGGAGCTGCGGAGCCAGTAAATAAACAAACCGGAGCAGCCTGGTAGCAGCTCTCTCAGAGTGGGTTTCACTCAACGATATCTATTTTAACGTGTTTCTTTGGGGAGATTTTAAAGTTCTTGTAATATAATTTGCCACAAATTGCTTTCTGTTTGATGTAAAGATTGTGGGAAAATAAAGTGTCCAATCCTGCAAGCCCTTACTCCTGGGTGTAGTACCTATTACCACGAGCTAGTGAGGTTACTGTGTGGACATCTCAGCGCAGTAAGTCCTACTCCTTTTAGAAGTTAGCATTTGCAAACAGGCCCTTTCGAGATGAAAGGAAATTTCCAAGAAACCCAAACACTTCTTTTTAGTGTCACACATCCTTGATAATTCTGCCTACCAAAAACGGCAGGGTACTTGTCACCGTGCCAAATGGGAAATGAATCAGTGTTTTACAATCTTGTTTTCCTGCAGCTCTTTCACCTGGTGGTGTAATTTCATCGCAAACATTTGAGGAAAGGATCAAGCTACCTTTATATTAGTATGGCATCCAGCACAAAAGGGACGGATTCTGTTTGGAGCCTTTGGGCAGTACAGTAATCCAAATATTAAATAATAAGAATTTCACAAGCTATGCAAAGTTGGACTCGGTCAAACCCTGAATAAGACTAGGTCACTGTGGGAAATGGAGTTCCGAGTCAGCAAGTGGTGCTGTTGTAACCACCACCAGGTGGATTTGAACCTGGGACCTCTGGAGCTGAGTATAGGAGCCTCTATCCTCTGAGCTAAAAGCCCACGGGCTCCCAGCCCCTGCTGTAGAGGTCTCTTGGTCTTAACTGTTGCTGTGGTCTAGGTGCCACTGTATTGGTCAGTGAACCACACTAGGGCTATGTCTACACTGGCGGCTTCTTGCACAAGAAAATCTTGCACAAGGGTGCTTGTGCAAGAAGTCTTGCGCAAGAACATGTCCACACTGCCATGTGCGAGCTGTGCTTTTGCACAAGAGCATCCATGGCAGTGTGGACGCTCTCTTGTGCAAGCAAGTGCCGATGGCCATTTTAGCCATAGGGCTTTCTTGTGCGAGAAATCCCTGCCGAGCATCCACACTGCCCTCTTGTGCAAGACCTCCTGCGCAAGAGGGCTTCCACCTGATAAAAAAGAGCATAGTGCTTGCACAAGAAGCCCTCCCTTACCGCGCCGTACTGTAAATTTCCTTGCACAAGAGCGGGCGAGCAGTGTGGACGCTCTGCAGATTCTTGCACAAGAACAGCTGTACTTGCGCAAGAAGCCGCGAGTGCAGACATAGCCTAGGTGTGTGAGTTACACTGTTCCTTCAGAATCAGCAGCTGAGTCTGCCGTGAAATCTCACAACAGGTTAGGCTGCTGGCTTGCTGAAACCACAGCCTGTCATGCTGACCCATTTTACCTCAGTTTCCTTGTACTGTCCCCATGCTCTGTCTGTCTCCATTTGTCTCCTGTCCTATGCTCAGATTGTGAGCGCTTTGGGACAGGGACTATCTTTGTGTTCTGTCTTTGCACAGTGCCTGACAGGAAAGGCCCCTGGCACATGACTGGAGCTCCTAGGACAATAGTGGGCAACAATTTCTGATTCCAAGATTTTGATAAGTGGTCAAGGGCTTCACTTTCATATGGAAGGGGGTGCAGGGACTGGGATACAGGTGGATGCAGAAGGGGTGCAGGGCTGGCTAAGAGGTCCAGGAGAAAATATTGGCCTGGGGAAGGGGTGTAGGAGAGGATGCAGGGTCTGTGAGGAAGTTGTGACCAGGCAGGAGGTGGGGGCAGAAGGTTTGGGTGGTGACCTGGGGCAGGGAGTTGGGATGCAAGGAGGGGCTGGGGAGCCAAAGACAGGCTCTGGCTGGGAGGTACTTATCTAAGCAGCTCCCGGCCAGGAGCACTGCAGGACTCCAGGGCAGACTCCCTGCCTGCCACCAGCCCCAGACCACTCAAAGCGGCTGGCTGCTCCCTGTGGCTCTCTCCTCCAGGAGCGGGGGGAGGCTTTGTGCACTGCAACCCCCTGCAGTACAGTCGCTCAGCTCCTATTGGCTGGTTTCTGGCCAACGGGAGCTGAGAAATTGTGCTGGGGGCAGGGGCAGCACACAAAGCCTCCCTCTTCCCCCAGTTCCCGGAGCAGAGAGCCACAGGGAGCAGCCAGCCACTTAAAAAAGCGTGGGGCTGCTCTCTGTGCCTGAGGGTCCTGGCAGAGTGGCCCATGGGCTGCATTTTGCCCACCCCGTCCTAGGCGCTGATCCTACATGCCAGCATGATGCCAGCGGCACTGTGCTGCTGCCTTTCCAATGACACACAAAGCCATGGTCCTGACCTCTTGCAGCAATCAGAGATATCTCGTTTGTTTGCTTCGATAAATCAAGTACTTATTCTGGCATCCAGCCCACATTTCATATGGAGCAGTTACACTGCTCCAGTCTATTGCATGTTGCTTTTTGCTTCCGGTCCTAAACTGCTCTACAGAGATGTAAAACCCTGTTTAATCAGTTCACTGGTTAAACGTTATATTTAACCGGTTAATCGCTTTTACATGGGGGGCAGCCAGGCTGGAGCGCCCCCCTGCTGCAGCAAGGCGGACCTGGCCAGGCTGGCACACCGGTTAACCACTGATATGCCTACTTGTAAAAAAAATTGCCCCACCATAGCAGTGGATGCTTTTTAGTGCCATTGCAGACCCTTTACCTCTCTTGCAAAGCACTAAGGGCGCTACAGCAGGGCACGGCTTTATTAAGCAGCTTTGGGGACTTTAATCCAACCCATAAATATTCCTTTAAAAGCTCCCTCCCCCCCGGGCAACCATTTGTGGTGCATCAGAGTGTCAGGGTCCACTCTGAGAAAGTTGCTAATGGGCCACTCTAGTTTGTTTCTCTAAAGGCTCTGTAGCCACTAAACCTCACGGCTTCCCCTGGTTCTGGTCCGCATAAGGAGCAGCTGGGTGGCAACTCGTTCACTGCAAGCAATACACTGGACCTAGCCTTTGAGGACAAAGCGAAGTGCAAAGACTGGCCATCTTTGGCAATCTGGCTTCTGGGAATATCACAGTGCCAGGCAGGGATGCTATACATGTGTCTCTGCCCAAGAGAGATGGCAGCTAGGAGCTGCAACCCTCGGATGGGGGGGTGCCCTTGGTGGACCATGGGGAAGAAATACAGATGCAGTCACCCTGATGCTGTCACACTGTTCATCTGCCAAGGAGAGACGTAAAGGGATGAAAAAAGTAACCAACGAATCATCCAGCTGTACATAGTGCTGCAAGCTCGCTTTACTTCAGGGCCGGGCTGTACATTCATGGAGCACTCTACCCCTCTGCCTTCGGTACTGATATAATACTAATCCCCATAGTGCCTCTAGCGGCACGGTTCAGGATGCTAAAGAGAAACATGTGTACGACTCAGTCATTCACGTCATGTGTAATCTGGGACTTTCCCCTCCAGATTCCTCAAGAGGGCTTCGATACCACCAGAGAATCCACCCCAGGTTTTACACGTAAACCACTGCAGACTAGATTAGGACCTGGGGAGTTTATGAAGTGCTGTGTTGATGCCCCTGTGGTGGAGATTACGGATGGGAGCGGGTAACCGTATCACACCATATCGACTGGATCACCTTGTCTTCACGCTTGTCGATACCCTCAGCGAATTCTAATAGATTGGTGAGTCATGATTCCCTTTTACCAAAGCCTTGTAGACTCTTCCCCCAACAAACTGAGTTCGTCTACGTGCCTAATCATTCTATTCTTTACCATACCTTCAGTCAATTTGCCTGCTACTGAAGTTTGGCTTACCGGCCTGTAATTGCCAGGATAAGTTTGGAGTATTTTTTATATCAGTGTTACATTCACTATCCTCCACTCACCTGGTAGAGGCCGATTTAAGTGATCAGTTAAGTACTTACGGTTAATAGTTTTGCAATTTCATATTTGAGATTTTTAGTACTCTTGGGTTCTACTGACTCTCTGTTGTTTAATTCGTCAGTGTATTCCCAAACCTCTTCTATTGACACCTCAGTCTGGGTCAGCTCCTCAGATTTGTCACCTAAAGGAGTGTCTGAGCTTTGGGGCACTACCCTACATCCTCTGCAGCGAAGACCACTCCAAAGATTTCATTTGTCTTCTCCTCAGGCCTTATCTTGATTACTCTTAGGGCACTGGACCACCCAGGTGCACAAACAGTGTTTGGCGGCTTTACTGCTTGTGATACATTTAAAAACAATTTCTGTCCGCGTCTGGGTTTTTTGCTAGCAACTCTTCAAATTATTTTTTGGCCTAATTATTAGTTTACTTGGCAGAGTTTATGATGCACCTTTCTATTTTCTGCAGCAGGATATGACTTCAAATTTTTAAAAGATGATTTTTTTGCCCATAACGTCCTCTTTTGTGTGGTTGCTTAGCCATGGTCCCCTTACTGTTTTTTTGCTTGTTTGTTACTTGGACTGTACATGGAGTGAGAGTTGTCATTACGGTATTTTTAAATAGTTTCCATACAGTTTGCATGCATTTCACTCTTGTGGCTGTTCCTTTTAATTTCTGTTTAACTAGTCTCTTCAAGGCTTGTCTACACTATGCACCAGATCGAAGGGCAGCAATCGATCCGGTGGGAGTTGATTTATTGCATCTAGTACAGACATGATAAATCGACTGCCGAGCACTCTCCTGTCGACTCTGGCACTCCACGAGAATGAGAAGCACAGGCGGAGTTTACAGGAAAGCATCAGCTGGCAACTTACTGCAGTAAAAACACCACAGTAAGTAGATCTAAGTACACTGACTTCAGCTACGTTATTCATGTAGCTGAAGTTGTGTAACTTGGATCGATGGCCCCGGGTACTGTAAACTAAGCCTCATTTCTGTGCTGTTTTATCTCTACAGTCTATTCTGAGGGGACACGTCTCCAGTCACGATGAGGGTGGTGGACTTCCCCCATTACTATTGTGTTTTCTGTTTTTGTAGCCTCTCTTATCTCCCTGCGCACATCACAATCATCATCACCAGGCTAGTCAGGCGATCTCTAATAGATTTCTACTGCTATGCTCTTAATGTTCAAGCACGGAATTTTTATCCACAGAAATTCTATGGTACAGTTTGAGCCATTTAAGTCACGGTGTAGGATCAACCCTCTAACTTCTCAGCACAACAGGCCACGTCTCCACAACAATGTTGGCACAGCTCTGAATTACGACAGTGTTTTAAGTGCTGTTCCATTGCCTGAGAGGCCAAATGCTTTACCTGATGTGCACAGCGCCGGGGAGGAGGACTTGGGATGTCTACTTTACTCCAGCTGTTCTTCCGGATGTTGTAAAAGTACAGCTCATTATACAGGAACGTCTGTGGAGGGAAAAGAAAAATAGATATCGCCAGAGCTCACCATTTAACTTTATCCAACGGGGGTGTATCAAATTCTCAACTACCACAGGCCACTCCTGGGAGATAGTTACCTAGTCATTAAACGGTAAGGGAAAAGGTACATGCAAAGTGAAGGCTGACCTACCTCCATGAGATGCTGAAGAAATGACACAGTCCTTTTATACTAAGCAACAACAAGACCAAGCCAGCCTGCCTGGGCTGTGGTGTCACTCTACTCCCATGCTAGGGGATCAAAATACCAGAGGCAGTTTTGGGGTGCAAAGTAACACACATATGGAACCATCCTGCTCCCACCCCATTTGTGAGATGGTCCACTACCATCTCCCTGCCTGCGGTCACCTGCGGCAGGAATGAGCCTCATTTGAGGCTCTGCTGTCCCTACCAGGTAACAGTTTAACCATTTAACCTTTTACATCCCTAGTGACTAGGCAACAAATACAAAGTAATGCTGCCTGGAAAAACAACTCCAACTAGGGATGTTAAAATGTGATTATTCAAGTAAATTTCAGCAGTTGCACCCAGGGGGTCGGCCAGGTGGCTTCCCATATGCACCAGCTCCCACCTGCACCCACTCCTCCCCACCCCCCGCTGCTGCCTCTGTGTCAGAGGCAGCAGCGTCGGGAGGATAGGGGCTGCGTATAAACCATGCACAGTAACTGATGAGCCCAGGCTTATCAGTTAACTGCGTGTACACGGTTACATTTTCTCATCCCTAATCCCAACTATACATACAAAATGATGGGGTCCAAATTAGCTGTTACCACTCACGAAGGAGACTGTGGCGCCATTGTGGATAGTTCTCTGAAAACACCACTGTGCAGTGGCAGTCAAAAAAGCAACCTGAATGTTAAGAACCCTCAGCGAAGGAATAGCTAATAAGACAGAAAATATCTCTATTCAAATTCTTGATAAGCTCATACATTGGATATTGTGTGGAGACCAGGTCACCCCATCTCAAAAAAGCCATGTTAGAATTGAAAAAGTACAAAGAAGGTAACAAAATCGATTAGGGATATGGAACAGCTTCCACATGAGGACTGAATTTTCATCTTATAAAAGAGATGGCTAAGAAGGGATATGATAGCAGTCTATGAAATTGTGACTGGTGCAGAGAAAGTGAATAGGAAATGTTATTTACTCCTTCTCATAAACACAAAAGCTAGGGGGTCACCAATTAAATTCATAGGCAGCAGATTTAAAACAATGAGAAGGAAATATTTCTTTACACAACTACAGTCAACCTGTGGAACTCCTTGCCAAAGGAGGTTGTGAAGGCCAAGTCTATAACAGGGTTCAAAAACAAACTAGGTAAGTTCCTGGAGGCTATATCCATCAATGGCTATTAGCCAGGACAGGTAAGTAGCGATGAAACACCATGCTCTGGTTGCCCCTGAGTCTCTGTTTGCAAGAAGCTGGGAGTGGATGACAGGGGATGGATTGCTCGGTTATCGCCGGCTCTGTTCGTTCCCTCTGGGACCTATGGCAAAGAAGGAAGATAGGATACTGGGTTGGGTGGACCATTGGTCTCACTCAGCCTGGCTGTTCTTATGAGTACTATGAAGGTGGTGCTGAGCTGTAACAGAACGAAAGCCAGGGGAAATGACTGAAGGGAGTGGAGTTTGTTAACAGCCAGTGCAGGGGCGGGGGTACTGCTGAATCAAAGCCCGCTGACTATAAGCAGACTTGCACTTTTAGGCCCAAGCATGTAAAGAAGGAGAGATTCCCACCCCCAGGAATAGGGTAAATAATCGTTGCATGGATGATCAGCAGGCAGGAGCTGTTGAGGGGCTGCCGGTACTTACTAGGGATGTAAAATCCTGTTTAATTAGTTTAACTGGTTTTTTGGTTTTTTTATTTTTGCTTCTCACTTGTTTGAGGCCCCTGACTGATTTTTCTGTGGGTCAGCAGCCCCGACCCAATAAACATTTCCTAGTGTCTCCTAAAACTGGGATCTAGAGATCAGTAGTTTTAGCCTGGAAGGAATACAAATTTGATTAAGGAAATTTGCAGTGTGCTTGGGGGTTGGGAGTCAGCAGCCCTCCCCTGCTGCCGCTTCCGCCCCCGTGAGGCTGCCAAGTCCCAGCCTGTGCAGGCTGGGAGCCAGCGGCCCCATGGAGCTGGAGCTGGAGTTTACCGGATAACCGATTACCCATTCACATCCCTAGTCCTTACCCCTCTGAGCGAACAGACTCATTTCACTTTCAGAGTGGGGCAAGCGGGACTAACACACAGCACACCAGGAACCAAAGATATGGGGCAAATATGATCCATGCCAAGTCTAGGGAAACAGTGACTGTGTACGCATCAATATTGCAGGACATCATAATGACCCCTTAATGGACCCCAATGCTCCTCGGTCCTGCCAGCCCAGCCCAGCCCAGCTCAGGCGTAAGACAGTGCTAGCACGGAACTAAAGGCTATTTTGCATATTTTATCCCTCAGCTTCGAATTTTGGCTCCAGCTGAAACCCATACCAAAGACAGTCAAGGCAATGGGGGAGGGAGAGGATAGATAAATAGAAGAATACTTTACTTTTTGGCCATTGAAATATTCACCTCCAAAAAGGATCAATTCGTCTCTCTCGGGATGAGCAGACAAGGAAGCGTTGAGCCTGCGTCAGAGAGGGAGAGAGATGGGCCGACATCAGCACGTAACAGACCCATTTGTAACTCCTCTCAGAGGCTACTCACTACAGACTGGGATGCATAATTCAACAAGCGTGAGCTCTTCTCCCCTCCAGGCCAAAGTGCCTCTCCATCACCCACACTTTCTCTGAGTTTCTGACGGGTTTTTTTTAATTTCCAAGCCAAAAACTTCCTGAAGAAATTAACTTTTTTGGAAACTTCCACAAAGGCTAATCTGAAATCTCCTATTTTAGGCACACATTATATTGTCATTTACCACGGCCTCTGACATGGTTTTAATATTAATACTGATGGATTAGGAGCAAAGATGAGCTTTATCATGGCACACAGCTGGGGCTCTAATTGGTCTCTTTCATTTGAAGTTATCTGCATCATTCTTCTATCGAGCCCACTGTTCGCTTCAGACTCCCCACTCCCATTCCCGTAGGTAGCAGGAGTTGACGACATCTAGCACTTCCTGGGATCAGGGCCCTATTGTTAACTGAGCCTCCCAACAACTTTGTGAGGCTGGCGAGTAGCATCACCCCCAGCCCCCCGGCAGAGGAAAAACAGATGCACAAAGGCCAAACATCACTGACCACTCCAGGGCTAGAACCTCGCAGTGCCAGGATACCAGCCCTGTGCTCTGGCCACTAGCCCACAGTCTCTTGTATCTCATAACAATTTTACTGGTTTCCTCAACTTTCCAGCCTGAGACACAAGGCTCCCCCTCATCACTCTGTGTTATACTGTCCACTGCCCTCCGATCTAGCCCCCAGCTTTGATAATATTCCCCGCTTTGTATCATCCCTTCAGGCTGCTAAAAAGAGCCAACGTATTTTTTAGCAGGGAGGTATTGCTGGTCCCCTTGATGCTCTGAGGACTGAATACCATTTACATCTTCATCCCTCCATGAAAGCATTTTAGCCTACTGCTACATCCTTCCTTCTCAAGGTACCAAATACCCAGGTTTCATTAACACCACAACCCGCTGGATAACAACAGGCAAGGTTCCAGGCGATCTCTTACCTTGGTGAGGGAGGGGGACAGGCCGTCTCAATTATCTGAGTCTTTTTAGCATCTAATGTCTGGAACTCTGCTATCAGAGCTTCGAGATCCTCCTGAAAGTAAAGAGCCAGTTGAGCAAGCGTTTCTTGGCACATGTTGTCATCCGCCTACACCACCCGCAAATTCGATTTTTCTGTTTTCCTTGCATTTGATTAGATTCATGTCATTGAACTACGAGGTCTGAGCAGGGGGGACGACAGAATTGCCGGGCGGCTGTGCAAGTTGGGGGCTGGCTTTGCGCCCCAGAAAAGAGCAGGGCCTCAGGCACTGTGCCCCTCTCCCCGCCAGCCCTTCATGCCACCTGGAGTGTGCTGCCCGGGACTCCAGTAGCGATTTTAAGGGCTCAGAGTTCCGGCCACCCCTGCTGGCACAATAGCAGCAGCAATGGCTGAGATGCCCAGGCACTTTTGAATTACCAGGCCCCCAGGCAATTGCCCCTTTGCCTGCCCCGTCAACCAGGGATGCGAATGGGTGAGGCTGACCGGTTCTGGAGAACCAGTAGGGGCTGGAGCAGTGCCCCCCAGCCACTTAGGGCAGGGACCTAAGGGCTGGTGAGGAGAGCAGCATGGTGCCTGAGGCCCTGCCCTTTTCGGGAGTACCGAGCCGGCCCCCCCAACTTGCCCAGCAGACCGGCAAGTCTGTCATCTCTCCTGCTCCTACCTCATAGTTTAATGACATGAATGACCTGCTCCAACCATCCCCCCAATCTACCCGCCCGCCGCAGTTAACCAATTAAACAGGATTTTACATGCCTACTGTTGACGGACCTGGGGTATCAAGGTTACTAGTTTTTCATCCTATACTAAGGGTGGGTTTCTGTTACTCTATGTGGCTGAATTTGTAAGCAGATTGTAACACAACACCATAGTCAGCACACAGCTCCCACCCCTACAGAGGTCCCGTGTTTCACCTTTGCTAGTGAGCAGTTTTATAGCACGACTGGTGGTGAACACTAGGGATGTAAGCGACCAGTCGAGTAGTCAACTACCCGATAGTTGAGTGACTACTCAACTACTCGCTTCCCTGCCCTCTTGCTGCCTCTGTATCAGAGGAAGCAAGGGGGGGAGCAGGACCCAGTGCTGCGGGAAGCCGGTTCCCCCCAGCACCGTATCGGCAGTGCAGGGAGGGAAGGGGAGGCAGAAGTGCAGCAGCCCGGGACTCAGCAGGAGCTGGGACTGCCCAGGCCTGGCTCACGCCGGGTTCCAGACTTACCCTGCTGTGGCTCTGCCTTTAAAACACAGTAAAAGCCAAGTGGCTCTTACGACTTTTAAAACGCAGAGGCACAGCAGTCCAGGACCCGGCGCAAGCCTGGTCTAGGATCTACCCCCGCTGCGGCTTTGCAGTTTACATGTAGCAGGAGCTGGGCTGCCTGTGCACCTGGCTCCTGCTACAATTAAACTGCAGAGCCTTTACTAACAAATTGTATGAACTACACGATGAGTCAGTTACCCACTTCTTAACATCATTAGTTAAAACCCAAGGGCTACATCTAGACTGGACCCAAATTCCGGAAAAGGGATGCAAATCAGGTAAGTCAGCATAGGGAAATCTGCGGGGGATTTAAATATCCCCCGCGGATTTAAATAAACATGTCCGCCGCTTTTTTTCCGGCTTGGGGAAAAGCCGGAAAAAAGCGTCTAGACTGGCGCGATCCTCCGGAATAAAGCCCTTTTCCAGAGGATATCTTATTCCTACCTGAGGCATTCCTTTTCCGGAATTTGGGGCCAGTCTAGACGTAGCCAAGTATTAACACAGGGCTGCTGTTTCAGCATTTGTGAATCTGATGCGCCGATATAATCGGGCAGATGTTAAAACCCACTGTTGTTCTTTCTTGGCCTGGCTCGTGTGCAAGATAAAAATGCTTTCTATTTCAAATGTATAGTTCCTCTAGAGAGAAATTTCATGTCTTATCTTTTATTCCTCTTCAGTTTCTCTAAATTAAAAACAGAACACAAACCCCTAAAAATCCCTGGATTATGCAAGAATAAAGGAAATCGCTTCCCTATTCCCCCTTCCTCCTGGAGAGGTTTTGCTACAGGCTCTGCAGTATAAAGCTGAGATTACAGGGTTACCTGTTTAACTGAATTTTAACATCCCTAGCATAGTGGGTGGCCCAGACGCTGCAGTTTGGTGCATGCCAGCACCCTGCATACAAGCACAAGAAAACCATGGGGCAGAGTACGGACAGAGCCTTTCACCTCTGCTATAAATTGCAGGATCGGGAGCGCAGATTTGCAGGACTCTTGCAGAATTGAGTAATCCCCGTTGGTCTCTGTAACATTACTAAAGGAGCCCCTAGGAGCTTGATTTCTCAATAACCTGGCAACGTCTTTTAAAATATTCCTGCGTGGCAGCATTGCTGCCATTGGGCTTTAACTTTATGGGCCAGATTCATTCTTCTGTCAGGCCTCTGGCAGCCACAGTGTCCAAGAAGAGATTTTAAGCAACTCTGGCAGCATAACAGCCACGGCTTCCTTTATCAAACACGGTGCCCTGCGTGAAGGGACTACTACAAAGACTTCTGTGATAACAGGAACAAGAGGCTTTCCAGAGACGCTTTCCACTTGGCACGCTCAGGCGGTAGGGACCAGAGTGAAACTAACTGCACCAGTGGTTTTGAATGTCACTTCTGTGAGGTGCAGGGGTCGCTTTGCTAAGTCTTCTCTGGCTCAGAAAAATCCCGGGGGAGAATGAAAACTTATTGCACCTGCCAGCCAAAGGGTGTGTGTGTGTGTGTGTGTGTGTGTTTGCTGCCTTAGCAGCAGGCCCCCTCTGTGCAATGGGAGACTCGTCCCCCTGCTACCAGCACCTCCACTTACCTCCTCCTTCTTAGCTCTCTTGGAGACTTTCTTCTCCATCTTAGCAGCCGTTTTCTCTGCCCCTTTCACCTTCTTCTCCTTCTTGCCTTTCTTGCCCATGCTTTCAGCCTGGCTGGGCGCGGGGGCTCCCCTGTGCCCTAGGCACCCTGCACCCTGCTGCTGCTGCAGAGAACACACATGGCCACACACACTCTGCAGGGCAAGCTCTTCCCAGGCTCTCAGGGGCGATTTCCTGCCTGGGCTGGGGAGGACAGCAATGGGGCCGTCAATGCCATCTGCTGGGCTGGATGGCTTCTCACACCCGCTTGCTGATGGTGCAGCTGGGCCAGGAGCAGGCTGTGCTTCAGGCCCAAGGCCGGGCTGAGCCTTGTGACATTGCAGTCAGCGCCCCATGGTTGGGGGGTGCATTAGGAGCACCCCCTCCCGGGAAAGCACCCCCCACCGGGCTGCGAGCCCGCGCCTCAAAGGGCCCGGATTGCCCAGCAGCACTGCTGACTTTAATTTAAACCCCCGGGGCGCCCCGCAGCCTGCCCAGCTGCCCTCCTTGTCCGTAAAAGACACACGCAGTCAGCACACGCTGCGATTCCCCACAGGCAGTATGTGTGGACTGTAGGGTTGCCAGATGGTTTCAAGAAAAATACCGGGCACACTTGATCTCAGACGGGGGGACCGGCCAGGAGGGGGAGCGGGGCTGGCGGGGGAGATCAGGAGGGGGGCGCCCCGCAGCCTGCCCAGCTGCCCTCCTTGTCCGTAAAAGACACACGCAGTCAGCACACGCTGCGATTCCCCACAGGCAGTATGTGTGGACTGTAGGGTTGCCAGATGGTTTCAAGAAAAATACCGGGCACACTTGATCTCAGACGGGGGGACCGGCCAGGAGGGGGAGCGGGGCTGGCGGGGGAGATCAGGAGGGAATTGGCCGGTGGGGAGCAGGGCTGGTTGGGATGGGGTCGGGGGAA